TCTCCATAAAACCAAGTAAAATAATTTGAAAAATCATGACGTCATCACATATCATAGAGGTATTAACAAAGCTGGCACCGTCGAAATCCTGCATCTGCCAACTTTCTTCCACATCTTTAAACACAGTCCTAAATGCGTAGGGAGTGCTTGGGATAAAGAGAGGTAGTGGAAGTGGCTTGGCTGACGGATTACAGACCAGCCACCAGCCCTGTCACCTTTCCTGAAACTTGCCCAGACATACTAGAGAGCTGCCTGTTCAACTAAATGCAGGAGGCATTTACTGTGCAAGATCAGCTGAGCTGGCAGCTCCCAGACTTGCACGTGCCATGGCGTATCTAATCTGGACAACCTGGATGGAGCACTCTGAGCTCCTATCCAGCTTATACGGTCAGGGTTTCTTTCCTATGCAAATAGAAAGCCCTCAGCATCCTCTGAAAACTTAAGTTTACCTATTTCATTCCTATGAAGTTTACCTAATGGCCTGTAGAGCAAATCTTCAACAACTCTACTGATCTCGTATCTACATGTTTAGGAGAAATACTGACGTTCCTAACAGTGGAAACAAGCAAGACACCTGAGCAGATGTATCGTAAATTATATTAGTTATTGTTAAGGTCTTAACAAAGTAGAATAAACCATAAATTGTTGGTTGGACCAATACGTGTGTTTTGCTGTTGAACATTTTTGTTGTCTTTTCTTTTCTCATCCCATCCCCTGGTGGTTATTCAATACTCCTGAAGGGGCAACGGGCACAAACTGAAGCATAGGAAGTTCTGTCTGAACATGAGGAAGAACTTCTTCCCTCTGAGGGTGACGGAGCACTGGAACAGGCTGCCCAGGGACGTTGTGGAGTCTCCTTCTCTGGAGATATTCAAGACCCACCTGGACAAGGTCCTGTGCAGCCTGCTGTAGGTGACCCTGCTTCGGCAGGAGGGTTGGACTAGATGATCCCCAGAGGTCCCTTCCAACGCCTACCATTCTGTGATTCTGTGATTAATTGGCTTTTTCTAAGCGACATACAGAAAAAACTCATGTAGGGAGCCTGAAGCACCCGTAGTTTCCCTTCCTACGAGAAGATCCCAAGTAAGCTTCTGCCCCGGCGGTGGAAGGGGTGCCGCAGGGAGCCGGGCGCTGCGCTCCCCCGCAAGAAACCCAGCC